AATTGTGATCAGTTTATACTCCAATCTGATGGCTACATGTAAATTCTAGTCCTAGAAAAATCTTCTGTTTTATGGGTACCCATTTTTCATTCATATCAGATATTGTATCTTCAGAGCCTGGTTTTATTTCCTGAAAAAACATCCCATCAACGTAGTGGATTTGTAACATCCCTAACACCTATTTGGGATGGACTGGCCTTTACTGCATTCTGATTCAGAACCTTAATGATGGACAATAAACCTGGTTAAGAGTAGCAAGTTATACTGTTTGTTGAAACTATTTATAGAAACTGGATAAAAAGCTGTAGGGAAGTATTGGTTGTAAATCTGCATGATAGGAAAGAAGGAGCAAACTTCTATCTATTCAAATTAACTTAATTATTGATAATTAAACCACAACTGGTTGTCATTTGATTTCCATTATATGATGCAAAAGTATCATCATATAGTAGTGTTTTTTTGCAAATGTTTTGAGAACCACCAACTTCAGTGGTAAGAACATTAATGAAAACACCGTACCAGTTTACATTATTATCAGCATAAATCAAATGTTGTTTCGTAATATTAACAGCATGCATGTTGTTATTCCCTTCTGTCTCCTTTCCTCTTTACTTTGTCTCTAACTTCATTTTATTTTATATCAGACTCCCAGTGAATGTTTTTAGAACATTTGAGACACAAATTTTATGAATTTGTTCCTACCAAGCCTCAGTCCTCTGCCCAACAGTGTTGAATGTAACAGAAACGTATCTGTCGAAAGAAAACTACATGTTGTGTATAACCTATTTGTAGAGGATTCTTTGTAACACTCAAATCAAACTCGCATTCACTTATGCCAATGTGGTATAAGTACAACTCTTCTCACCATTGATACCCCATCCTCCACGTACAAATCTCATACTTTTCTCTAAAGGAATGCTTCCCCAGGTACAACATATCTTTAATTGTCTTACTTGAAACCACTTTATGTAAATACTTCGATGAAATGCTGTTTATCATTGGTCGGCATCATTACCCCAGTCGCTGATGTCATCATTCAACGTACGCACATGGAGAAATTCATCAGCATTGATAACAATTTGCTTCTGCCTGTTTGCTGCAGTTGTCAGCTTTGTACTCTTATTGCTACTCCACTTGTTCTGGCTGGGTAACTCGGAACAGGGATGGATCTCAGTTGTATGATGCTAATACTGATGGTTATTAGAGCATAAATATTACTGAAAAGTAGACATCCTGTTGATGTTTTTCATCTCACGGTCATTAGGAAGACGCAAGAGACACACTTTAAAAGGGAGCGCAATCATGAGAAACCAGTGTGTACTTTAGATATGCAGCGGGGAATGAACTGAGGAACAGCTTTTGCACCACTTACTCCTGAACCGTGCTTCAATTGAGAAAGCACGTGCCTGTTCTCCTACAAAGGATTGGGCCATGCATACGAATATGTAACTTCTCGCATTCATACATGTTTTGAGCCCGACCAATGATCTTCATTTGAAGACTCATCATTTTTGGCACATGCTGGATGTTTGAGCAAGTGCTGGACATTCGTAGAACCACATCTAATATTGAGTACTTTGCTGTGTTTTGCCAGCATGTACTGATTGAGTGCTGTACTCAGCTTAGTGCTAGACAATTTTATTAACTACACTTCCAATTTCCACCTAGTTCTCAGCTTCTCTGATCTTTCCTTCCCAAATATTTCATACTTCTGTGCCCAGCAGTGGGTTTTCTAATTATGTCTATTATAAGCTCACTGACTGTCAAAGATTTCGTTCACATTTTATGACCATGATAAATTGTTACGCCATACTTATACTTCTATGATGGGTTATCATACTACAGTTTCCACTGTTGGCGGTGCTCTCAGGGAAGGCTGTAAATTACAGCATGACAAGTTTATGACATGGTTTCCATTTTCAAGATATCTGCTAGCTTTTCTGCTGGCATGTTTAGTTGAATACTTACTTTGTATAATTGTGTACCATTATTTCCTCTTTATAATCTCTTGTGTAATTTATTTGGAAGGTACTGGTAATAGAGCAGAAGAATGAAGATGGAACATGGCCAAGAGGTCCTTCTACTAATAAGTGAGTTTATTATTGTCACGTATTATTATTAAATTTTTTCACTTTGTTTTAACAAATTCTAAAAGAACATCTTGCTGAAACTGTCCAGTGTACCATTAATTTCATTGTGGCCTAACCTCTAATGACAAATTAAAGCAAACAGCACAAATTTAAAAAACATTTGAGATCAGCTGAACTAAAGTTTGATTGCTGCTAACAGCAGAATATTCATTTTCTTTCAACTTGTTCTCTGCATTTGTAGATTGCTGCCCTGATGCATTATTGCTGTGACAAGTTGTTCCAAGAAAGTGGTGAGGGGTGGAGGATGGGTCTGTTCCCTTAAATTAACTATTGCTGTTAACACTCGGGAAGTTGCTCAAGTGATTCATAAGATATTGAGTTAATCAAATAGTGCACTGCAGTCATATCTCTACCATGTTGTGTCAAGGCAGATTCTCTTTTCTGAAGGTCTAATGAAGTCTCATTTGTCATTTCTCCCTGGCCGCAGATTACCTTATGTATTTTATTCAATCTCACTTTGCATGGTGAAGTTCAGAACTGTCATTATCTAGGTTCCTAATTCAGTGTAGCAACCACTGCATTATCTTGCCCATGATTTTGATGCAATTCACCGGTCAAAATTCAGCATGCTTTCGCTGGATGTTGCCTTTTTTAGCTTGCAATAACCAAGATCTGACTCTGGAAGAATTACAGGAAAATGTATTTTCTTTATTGATAAAGTAGGATAAATTATTCTCAAATATTTGAGCCAGACTATTCTGCTTACTGAAAAGAAACCAGTGCTGAAGTTAAATGCCCAGGCGGAACAGTAATGTAAATAGAACATAGAAAAGTACAGCACTGTCTGCACATGGTCCATATCCCTCTATTCACTACCTGTATGTGTCTTGTCTAAATGCCTGTTAGATGTATCTGCTTCCACCACCCCCCTGACTGGGCATTCCAGGTACTGACCACTTTCTATAAAAAAAAAACTTGCCGATCACATCTCCTTTAAACTTTCTTCCTCCTCATGTTAAACCCATGCCCTCTAGTATTTGACATTTCCACTCTGGGAAAGAGAATCTAACAGTCCACCCTGTCTGTGCTTCTCATAATTTTATATACTTCTATTGGATAGCCCCTCAGCCTCTGAAACTCCAGCAAAAGTAATACAAGTTTGTCTAACCTCTCCTTATAGCAAATACTCTCTCATCCAGGCAACCTACCAGTAAACCTCTTTTGCACCCTGTCCAAAGCCTCCACATCTTTCCAGGATATTGTGACGATCAGAACTGTGCGCACATACTCCAACTGTGACCTATCTAGAGTCTTTTACAGCTGCAACATAACTTACCAACTTTGACAGTCAGTGCCCTGACTGATGAAGGCAAGCATGCCATATGCCACCATTGCTATCTTATTTACTTGTGTTGCCACTTTCAGGGGGCTGTGGACTTGCACTGTAAGGTTCGCCTCAGTCCTGTCATTTACTGTATACTTTCCTCTTGCTTTTGACCTTCCGGAATACATCACTCCTCACTGCATACCAAATAGAAGCAACACAATATTGATAGAACAATGGAGTGACCTATAGAAGAAAGGTTGGTCACATGTAAAACTGTCATAATCTGAGAGGCTCTCCTCCAATCAGTCTTTTCCGTCCTGTATTTGCTTGTTAGCTCACTAGTGAGTTTATCAGTCATAAGCACAAATGAAAAAGGCTGTATGATTCTAGGAACAACAAGAAGTTAAATGGCCGTGAGAGAGTCTGGGGCTGTTGTCCAGGCCAGGGAAGACTTAGTTGCTGGTGCAGGCCAGGGAGGGATCTGGTAGAGAGGGATGCTCCAGGGATTGGGAGGGATCAGGTGGAGTTGGGTGCTGCAGGGGCTGGGAGAGTGGAGAGGGAGGCTGAAAGAGATAATGGAGTAAACGAGGCTGCAAGAGATGGAGAGGGAGGAATGGAAGCTGCTGAATGAAATTTTAAACCAGTCACAGGAATACTTAGGAAAGTGAAAGTGAAAAAATCTTGAAGTTGCTGTGGAAACTAATTTCTGGCAAATGAATGTGGAATCTCTAGCATAAAGGAGGAGATGTTCAGGAGTTACAATATGGTGGGTGAAATGTCACAGTTGCTGTTAAAATGAACATTGTCCGTTGTTAACAGCAGACGAGTTTTATCAAAGCTTTGCATCTTGCACTTATCCTGCCAATTCGCAAGAATACCACATTAATGGGACAACCAACACTTATACTGTATGTGTTGCAATATTCCCTCTACTTTGTACTGCTGTGCAGCTGCTCGGAAGCTCTGTGCATGTCTATTGGTGTTCCAGTGAATGGATTCTGCTAATGGAAGCTGCTGCCAGGCTCGGGCCTCGGAGGTCCACGCAGTAGCAAAAAAAAATGCAAGGAACTTTGATGGGTGGAGGGTGCTGATTGGTTGACAAATGGATTCCTATTGATAGAGGCATTGCCATGAACAATGAATCAGTTAATAATTGGTTAACTGCCAAGCTTTGTTTAAATTTTAAACCAGGTAGGTTGACTCTCATTAGTCAAGGCAATGCCCTGAGAAATGTACCAGCAAATGGTCGTCACCTATTTTTGTTGAATTGAAACAGGTGCTGGGCATGCACATGTTCTTTCTATCTTCAAAGAACAGGCCTTTGTGTTAATATATGTAGCTTCCACCTGCAAGTGTACCTTGAACTTAACTGACAATTCTAAATTGGTTGTCAGTGTAACAGCATGCCACTAACAGAATGCTGCTATCAAGTCAAAAAGACAAATGAGTAAAAACTTGAGGATTGCATCAAACAGCATATCTTTGGCTTTTTGCAAGAAGCAAAGTACTGACTGTACTCAAACAGCCTGTGCTGACCTGTAGTGTCCAACAAAAGATGTGGTTCCACAAGTGATCAGCATTTCTTAGATAATTTTGAATATGCAAAGAATTACTCTGAAAATCACTATGATCTTCAGGTTCACAGTGTGGAGCAGTTGGGTGGGCTGTAAGCTAGGTATTAATATACAGGATAATGTTTTTGCAGACACAGTATATGTATACAAAATCGTTGACAACCATTCGGGTTCATTTCTCAGAGAACTGCATTGACCAGTCAGTCAGTGATTACATTCTTTAAAGAAAATAGGCTGTCTGTCTTAATTTAGGGAGCCCTAAATTAGGGAGCATGAAAGACACATTGTACAACTACATGCATTTGTTTACTCCACTCCACCCCCCCCCCAAAACGCACGTGCGCACTGTGTTCTTTGGATAAGGATCATCCTAATTGTCGTGAACTTCAGACCAATCACAGCCCTAGACACAATGAGTTAGAACAACTAAATACTGGGACTTTAATGCAGCCCACTTGAATACACACTGCAGGTGACCTTAAAATGAAGTTGTAGCCAAAATCCACGAATGATAGGATGCAAGTTTTCATCTTCTGATTAGTGGCTGGAGTTATCTATACCAAAAACCAAAATATTCTGTGCAAGACATCTGCAGTAATATCCATCTAAATGTGATATTTTCCTATAGATTTTAGGTTACAGTTTAAACCCTGATCCCAATAACTTGCATTGTTTGAAACTGTAACCATGAAGGCAGCAGGAGGCAGTTTGCTGATGAAGGGTCTAGGCCCGAAACGTCAGCCTCTCTGCTCCTATGATGCTGCTTGGCCTGCTGTGTTCATCCAGCCCTGCACCTTGTTGTCTAGGAGGCAGTTTGGTCAGGCAACTTGAGGACATTAGTAAAGTTGCAAAATAATACTTAAATTTGAGCAGCAACTTAATGGGTGCACTGCAGTTCTTTCTTCCTGGTTCAGACTAGGGCATTCATGGCAATGTTTGGTTTCTGTGTTCTCTAATGGTTCTTAGGTCATCTCCTTCCACTGGACAGCAGGCTCTACAAACTTCAGTTTCAAACTTGGTGCAGTGCTTTACTGAAAATTGTTGCTTATTAACTCTTTCCAAGTCACAGTTCACAGCTTAATCAATATTATTACAATCTGATTGGCCTTGATGAGGCAAGGTTCATTTCTGTTTGGTTCAAGGGATGCCTGATCAATCTGAGATTGGTCTTGAGGGTGATGGACAGTGACTGATTTTGCCTCCCACCATCTCGTGTTAGGTTCCCTTTGCCATTTACTCATAGGATCACGCCGCTCATTATAGTTGATCTGTTACTTTGGTTCCTTGCTTTGGTAAGGATATATTATGGTATTTTCTTTTGCCCATTTGTTTAGAATAGGGAAATGTATGCTGCCGGGCCTTCTCATGATTTATACTAAGTTAATTGTCTCAGTTTTGCATAATTGGTGCAGGTTTCTCATTAGTTCAAATAGTGTAGTGTATTTCTTTGTCAAGTGAAGCAAAAAAATGTTAAAAGTATGGAAGTCTACATTGCTGCAGTTAGGCAAAATAATACAATAAGCCAATGAATTAATGTACTTTGAGTGATTAAATATGAAACATCAATTTGCCTACTGGCTGTATGCTGCTAAGTGTCAACTGCTGTTCCTGGAGCAGTTGCTTCGGCATGGTTGACCTAGTGTCGGGTTGGAGCCCAGTTCAGGACCAGGCAGCTTCACTGGACTCATGGCAGCCATGATGTCAGTGGAGGCAAGGTGGCGCTGAAGAATGGTGACACGGTTCCAGTGGTGGAGGCACGGCTCCAGGCCATGGCTGGGCCCAGGTACCTGATGGCAGTGATGGTCGCGTTTCAGCAGAGGCAGAGTGCGAGGACTCGTGAGTGTTCGCAGACTAGAGGATGGACTTTCTGGCAGCAAAGACTAATGGAGGAGGCGGGCAAGTGATCTGGATGTTTCCTTATCTTTTGGATATTTGATTTATTTCTGCTTCTGTTTTTAGTCCTGTCTTTTGTATCCTAAGTTGGTGCCAGAGAGTGGCGACTTTTTACACTTGTCACTGTACACCTGTATTCCAGTACTCAAGTACACTAGACAATAAAATATAAATTGAAATCTCTCATTGACAACTGCTCCTGTGTT